GGTTGCTGTGAGCTAGGATGACGCCACGGCACTCTAGCCCGGGCAACAGAGTAAGACTCTGTCTCAATAAAAAAAAAAAAGAACCAAGACACCAGGCATCCTTTTTACTAATCTCCCTCCTTCTCCAAAACGTTTACCCCATTGCCCTAGCCCAGGTTTTTACGGACCTAGTTTCATTTCATTCCCACGAGGATCTCATGGAGGTGGGCTGTATTATTCCACAGCTGGGATTAGAACCCAAGCTTGCCTGTCCTAGAACTTGTGCTGGAGACGCTGAGGCCCCCTGCCTCCCCTCCACTGCACTACAGCCACCCCGGCTCTCAGCTCTCGGCTGTCGGCTGTCGGTGGTAGGACAGGAAAGGTTCTGTGCCAGCAGGGAGGAGGGCGTGGCAGCCAGGCTACGCAGTGGCAAAGGAAAATCCTCCTACCCAGCAGGACCAAACTACTCTCCCTCCACACACAGTAGTAAAGATTAACCTCTTTACGTGCCAGAAATAGGTGTTCCCAAGAATAGTCTTTGGAGCTTTGCGGAGGTCTTAAATATTCCATGATAAAATGTTACACATGGCAAGAAATAGAAGTGCTAGAACTTTCTTCCCACACTCCAGTGGCTTGCCTGGCAGGTACACTACCCAGGAGAGTGCAGCTTTAAGGAATAGGTTTGGAGGTGGGGACTGGGAGCCAGATATAAGGACTAATGCCAACGGAAGAATAGGGAAGGGCTCTTCTAGGAGTTTCGGGATAAACTGATTGGGAGTTACCCTATGGGAGGCTGGGGTGAGGAATTCCTAGCCAGAAGGTACTGAGAGGTATATGTCCTGAGTTTGAGAGTATAATAAGCACAGATATGTGGGTGCAGGCATTCTGATTTAGGGGAACAGGAAGTTAGACTATTGGGTCTTGGAGCCACCCTACTGGCCAGTGAGCACCAAGGGGTGGTAGGAGATGGATCACTCAGACTTGGGGTTCTGAGATCTGGATTTGGGGGTTCTGTTGTGGGCAGAAAGATAAAAGATGGGATGGTCAGTTTGGAATCATACCAGGAAGGACCCTGGGATGGAGGCAGGAACAATTTGGATGTGAGAGAGTAGCAGATCAGGCTGGGGACAGAAGTAAGGTGGGGTGGGTTTTGGGTCCTGGGCTTGGGTGGGGGAGTTTCCCATGCTGGCAGAGGTTCATACAGGAAGTCAGCCTTGGGGGTGGGCAGTGACAGGGTCTGCAATGCTAAGTAGGAGCAGGAGTTCTGGCTGTGCCAGAAGCCACATGGGCAGGGTTTCCTGGACTAACAGGAACTACAGGAGGTGCAGTCAAGAGATGCCAGAATTGGAGGATCCATTGGGGTGGAGCTGGTGGTTGGATCCGGAGGGGAACCAAGGTGGGATTCAGGGGGTTGGTCGGGCACGGGTCTACACTCCAGAAAAGAGGTCCCGGGAGTGGGTAGGCCTCCCAGGCCAGTAACAGGAATCTCAGGGTAGGACAAAGTTCCTTGTTCTGTTTCCAAAAGGAGTGGGGTGTCTGGATCCGAATGGGAATTCCGGATCAAAACCCTGGGAAGTAGATCCCAAAATAGAGCCAAAGTATTGGGGGCCCATACTATAGGGTTTCGGGAAGGGGAAACGGGAGATCCCAAATCAGAAGTGGGAACGCGAACAGGATGAGAGATCATTTAGCAGGATTCGGGGTCCAAACGCTGAGGTAGACTTCTGGGTGTAAACAGAAGGTCCCAGACAGCATTGGGGGACCCTCCAAGGCTCGTCTCGGGAGTCTGGACTATGAAGAAGCCCAAGGAGTGAACAGAGAGTCCCACACAGAAAAATAAGTTGCGGGGGTCTAGAGATCGCGGGCAGGGACGCAGGGTCCCATCGGTACTGGGGTCCCGGAGTTGAATCGAGGGACCGGAAAGTCCAGACTGTGGGCTGAGAATCCGAGGTGTGAATAGCGAGATCCCTGGGCAGTATTCGGGCTCAGAACGCTGAAGCGGGGTCCGGCAGGGTGGGGGGAAGGGGATGGGCGCGCACGTTGTACCTGGTGCCGCCAGCGGAAGAGGCTGGCCGTGTCGATGTTGGGGTGCGTCTCGTCCTCATCGTCAGACACCTCGATGTGGTCCCACACGCTGTAGTCCACCATCTTGCCTCGGCGGCCCAGCCCGCTCGGGCTCCGGTGGCAGCGGTGGCGGCAGTGCTGAAGACTCGGTCCGCAGAGCTCCGCCCCTTCCGCTTCCGCCCGGCCGCGTACACCCCTCACGCGTGACGCCACGTCCCTAGTAACCGCAGCAGCTGCACTGGAGACTGAGCTCGCCTTAAAGGGCCCTGCGCACGTGTTCCGAGCCCACGGAGTTCCCGCCCAGGCCCCGCGTTATCGGGCGCGGGGACTCCGCCGGGCATCGTGGAGGCCATATGGGTGGGAGCCCCGACTACGAGCCCCCTTCAGCTCCCGCCGCCCCGCGGTGGGTGCCTGCGGATGCAACTGGAGGACAGATGACTAGGCTGAGGGAAAGGATTGTCCCCTTAGCCACGCCGCAGTGACGTCTGCAAGGGGCAGGGCCTCGGCAAGAAGGCCTGTCCCTTGCCCCTAGTGAAGGGGGACCCAACCCTGCGCTGGGGAGTAGTGGCTGATCTAAGGGATCTTCCCAGTCCAAGGGGGCCGTGGCCCTGCCCTGGAAGGGTCTAAGTACGAGAGGCGGTGTGGCCCTGCCCCGGGAGGGTCTAAGTGGGGAGCAGCATGGCCCTGCCTGTGTTGGGGGTTGAAGGTATGGGGGGATCGTGGCCCTGCCTGGGAAGCTGGTGTTTCCCCGCCTCGGACCATCCCGCCTCCACCTCCTGCCACCCGTAGCGAGGACTTGCGCACACACACCCACTCCGGAATCACCCGGATCCCCCTAACGGGTCTCGGGCGCCCCTCGGCGGCGTCTCCCCGCATGGCCGCTGGGTGTCGCTGAAGTCTAGCCAGCAGTCAGTGCTCCTGGCCCGCGCCCGGTGGGGGATTGTGGAGGGGCGGAAGGGGGCTTTCCCAGTCGTCCCAGTCTGAGGCCACTCATAGCCCCTCCCCGTTCGTCTGGGGCTCCCTTCCTCGGCTGGGGCTCTAAGGACTCCATTAGTCTGAGCCCAGGGGACCCCAATCGCACACTTCTATACACCCAATCCTCGCTTTGATACAGGGATAAAAGGCCACGTTGCAGCCTAAGGCTGGGATTATCTCAGATTAAAGGATGCCCGCGGGGGGCAGGCTGGGTGGGAGGAGCTCCAGCCTCCTGGGTGACGGGCGCCTCTACTTAGTCTCCCCCGGAGTCTGGATTGGGGGCGGGGCCGGGGGAGAACCGAGAGAAGGGCGCCAGATGGGGGGATTCCCCGGCGCGGGGACGGGGAGGGGCCATCCGCACAAAAGCGTCCTCCCGCTGTCGCCCCTCCCCCTCGCGCTCCATTCAAACCCGCGAGTGGGCGGGCAAGGGCGGGGGAGTCCCCCTCTCCTCCCCCTCCCCCTCCAGCCCTGGCAGTCCAGCACAGCAGCGGCTGTCACGGCCCGGGCACGCGCGCGCACGGACACCCACCCCGGCGGGTGTCACCATCGCACACACACATACACACACACGCTCACACACCAGCAAACAAAGGGTCTGGATACCCCCGTCCCCTCCCGCCCCCCAGGCCGGAGAGGGCGGGGCATCCCCTCCCCAGCCCCCCTGCAAGGTAAGCTTCGGGCTGCGAGCTGCGGTGGGGAGGGGGGCCTGGCACCACAGAGGGAGGGGATCAGGACCACAGGGGCTTCCCCGGCACCCCAGGAAAGTCGGGCCCCCCACCTCGTAGGCCGTTTGAGGGCTTCTGCCGCGCCGCCAGGCTGGGGGTGTGTGGGGAGGACCCCGGATGCCGGGGGTTCCCGAGTAGGCACGGGGGGCTCTCCCTAGCTTGGGAGACTGGAGCTGCCCGGCCCCAGCGAAACAGGGTCCCCGGAGCCCCAGCTACCAAAACTGGGGACAGAGCGCCGGAAGCTCCCCCATCAGCGCCAAGCATTTCCTAATCTTGCCAGCACAGCCTCTCCAACCCTGGGGACTGAGAAAGAGAAAGGACCCCCGAGCTGCTTTGCACTGTGTTTCTGTCCCCCACCCTCGCCCCCCATCAGTGATCCCCTACTGTGTCTCTTTTTCCTGTGGGGTGGGGTTAGGGGGATCTGAGAATGCTTTTGGGGGCTACCCTGCTCTTCTGCTGCATCGCACAACCACGCGCCACTTAGCTGCCGTGGAACGGGCTTTGCCTTCTGGGTAAGCCTCAATTTCGTCATCTGCAAAGTGGGTGATTACACACACCGAGGATTCAGCGAGGTCATGCTTGCCGGGCCTGTCAGTGCGCCATCGTTTATTTCTCCGCGCATTTATTCAGCGCCTATTTCCCAAGTGCCTACTATGTGCCAGGCACTGTGGCCAGCTCCTGGGGCCGGTGGCAACCAGCAAGCCCAGCAGGGTCCCTGCTCCTCCCTTGTGAGGGAGCAAGATCAGTGTATAAACAGAGAAATCCCTGAGGCGATTTCAGACTGTGAAGACCAAAATTCTGTCCTGGGGCAGAGAGAGACTTGGGGAGAGCTGGGGTGCAGTGCAAGGCCCTCAAGATTAAATGAGATTTCTGGTTCGAGTCTGCGTTCCTCCTTCCATGAGGGTAGGGGTCAGGTCTCCAACAGTGTCTGGTATGCAGTAGGTGCCCAATTCATGTTGAACGAAATAAAGAGAGGATTAGATTAAGACTAGATTCATAGTATAGCAGGGCACAGTGGCTCACGCCTGTAATCCCAGTTTACTGGGAAGACTAAGGTGGGAGAATCGCTTGAGCCCAGGAGTCCAAGGCCAGCCTGGGCAACATAGCAAGACCCCATCTCTAAAAAAATTTTAAAAAATAGATTCATAGAACTGTAGATCAGGAAGGAGGCTTTATCATGAACCAGTTCAATCCCCCTCGCATTTTTACTAGAGTCAGCGAGCCCAGAATGTCCTCCTTCCCACAAAAGTAAAGATGGCTGAAGGAAGGGTTATGAACAACTGGGAAAGCAAGGGACAGAGATCAAATTGAGCACAGGGCCTTCCAGGAACTCATGAAGCCCAGCCAGTGTCCACCCCTCCCCACATCCTGCACAGACACAGCCTGCATTCATCCATTCAACGACTACTTGAGTATTTATTCAGCGCCTACCGTACACCAGGTGCTGGGCACAGAACAGTGAACAAAACATGACTCCCTGCCCCCATGGAGCTGAACCTTATTGGCAGAAACTGAAAAGAAACAACATAAACTAAATATCTAACAACATATTGTGATTAGGAGCAAGACTTCCTGGAGGAGGTGAATTGCTCTTCAGCACACACACACACGCGCACACACACACACACACACACACACACACACACTCTCAAACCCAGACAAGCACAATCACACTATTAAACACCATAAACAGACCTGAACCTATGACAATGTCCCTGAGGCCACATGGGTAGCGAGTGGCTGAACAGATTTGAAACCAGAGCCTGCATTTCTAAGCACCGGGAAATAGTGTTTTGTGCTGCACCCGCACACAAATCCCCCCTACACATATATACACGCTTATGTTACAGTCACACGGAGGCACATCCAACTTTCCGCCCACGTAGGTAGACTAATGCGACATTGCCCTGACACACGCACGCACTCCCGCAGGTGCAATCTGCTCTCAACTATGTATCACTTAGACTCACAGAAAGTTCCACCTGACCAGCTGCACATGCACAGCTGTGCGCGAAGACTCATGCATATATACACACACACACACACACACACACGTGTGTGCGGCGCACGCGCTCATGCCTGGAGTGCTTCGCCATCCTTCGCAGACCTGCTTCGGCTCTGGGTGTGCAGCTTGGGTAGCCGTGAATGCTCAGGGCCACAGCGTGGGCGTCTATCCTCACTTCCTTCTCTCTGATCTGCTACCCTTCCCCACATCCTTCTGTTGAGGGAAGTGGGGGTGGCAGGATGTTGGGCTGGGTGAAGTCAGCTTTCCTCTGCCAGCCCAGGCCAGTGGCTCCCAGGCAGAGCTGGTGGCTGACAGCGCTGACAAACTGGGTGGGGGAAGAGGACTCTCTCAGCCCTGAGCCTGGTGCCAGCTGCCCAGAGCAGCTTGCTCTGCCATCTGGACCTGCTTCCCCAGCGTCCTGTCGTCCATGGGAGGAGGCAAGCTTAGAGGTCTACCTCTACCAGTGCCTGAGGCCCTGCCTCCCTCACCTGGGGTTCTGCCAGGGCTGATTTCTGCAAACGTGCACTCGTGTCCTGATGGTCGTGGGGTGCCTGTCTCTGCCTCTCCCCCCTGGCCTGTCACTCTCCTCTGGCATCGCCTCTTCTTTGACTTCTTTCATTTGGCAAATCCTTGAGGACTTATCATAGGCTGTTCCAAGCACTGGGGAAATAGCCAGGGCCAGCTACAGAATTTGCAGGGTCCAGGGACAGTGCAAATTCTCTGTTCAAAATTCCAAAGAATTTCACCTGGGTGTGGTGACTCATGACTGTAATCCCAGCACTTTGGGAGGCTGAGGCAAGAGGATTGCTCGAGCCCAGGAGTTTGAGGCCAACCTGGGCAACATAGTGAGACCCCATCTCTACAAAAATAAAAATACAGCTGGACGTGGTGATGCGTGCCTGTGGTTCCAGCTACTCGGGAGGCTGAGGCAGGAGGATTGCTTGAGCCCAGGAGTTTGAGACTGCAGTAAACTATGATGACGTTACTGCATTCCAGCCTGGGCAACATAGCAAGATCTCCAGCTCTACTAAAAATAGAAAAAATTAGCCAGGTGTGGTGGTGCACCCCTCTAGTCCCAGCTACGTGGGAGGCTGAGGCAGGAGGATCGCTGGATTCCAGGAGTTCCAGGTTGCAGTGACCTATGATCACACCACTGCACTTGCCACGGCCCACTAGCTGCAGCGACAGAGGGAGACTCTGTCTCAAAAAAAGAAAAAGAAAGCTGAGTGAGGGACAGAGAGTGATGGGGTAGAGGGGAGACATCTCAGGGAAGGCTTCTGGAAAGCGGTGACTTTGAGCCGAGACCTGGGAGAGATAAGGGAGTCAAGCATTCATTCATTCATTCCTTCAAGAGATACTCGTTAGCAAGACCCATCTCTAAAAAATAATAAATAATTAGCTAGGCATAGTGGGCCACACCTGTAGTCCTAGCTACTTGGTAGGCTGAGGCAGGAGGATCCCCTGAGGAGT